CCTACTCTCAGGCCCATCTTGAAACTAGGAGGAACTGGAGGGAAATTTGTTTCCTCTCTTCATTTTATCATTTTTGAGGTTTTCTCAACTGAGAATATTGATGGCCGCAAGGTTAGGCAAAGATGATCGCTAACGCGATTCGCACTCAGCTGATTAAACAGGGCGAAGAGAAGAAAATCTTAGTATGCCGTACATCTTGGAATTAATCCCTTTTATCCTAACCTAATATTGGTAAAACTTTTAAAAATAATAATAATAATAATCTATTACCTAATATGTGGCACAGAACGAAACGGCAATAAGTAGAACACGAGGCATCTTACATTACAACGTTGGTTTACTGATTACAGTGGTCAAATAAATGATGAAATGAATACTAATGACAGGTCTTTTTTTCTTAATAAATCCATTAGATTTCTTGCTTAATTTGTTTTCCGTTGTTTATTCACTGAACAAACTGAATTTTAGGTTTATTTGGTCATGAGAAATGAGGTCAGAGTGAATCTGTAATTTAGCAGTTACCAAACCAAGGAAACTGACACGCTAATTTAAAATATGTTAATATATAATATTTTTTGGTACGATTAAAACAAATTTACTAAGCTGACACAAACATAAAAAAAGGCTCTTATTTGGTCCTTTTTTTTTTTTTCTTTTCAAGAAATTGAGATTGACGAAGAGCGAGTGAGCCGCCATGTTACGGTTTACGGCGTATATTTTGCCTATCCATTGTCCTCCATTGAGCTTGTGAGAAATTTTCCCGGTTACCAAAACCGGCGTTGAATATGAATTTCAAAAGAAAACACAAGTTTTGCAATCGGCTGCTTTGCTGCATGATTCAGAGCATTTAAATCCGCCATTACAAGAAGGCCATTGTGGGTTTGGACCTGTTTCAATACAAGTACATGTACCTCAGTGCCTTCTTGTTAACACCGGCCGACGATAATCTGACTTTTTTGCGTTTAAGACCTTAAAAGTCAATGTGCTCCCACTATCAAGAGGCTATGATCTAGTCTCTTGCCACTATCGATCTTCAATTGAATGAAGGGAAATGTTGACCATGCTATATTTAATTCAACCTCTTTTCTTCTTCGTTTTTTTTTTTTTTNGCTAGTGATACTTAATGCAGTTTTACCTCAGACCGTACCCTGTTACCTCAGCAACATGAGAAGTAATATCTAGATTGTTGCACTCGTTTGCTTTAATAGTAAATAACTAGCTCTCGTTCGTTAGTCGAACTACAAGCCCCCGGGAAGCCTCTTCTCTCTAGCAAGTTGATACCAGACAACAATTAGTATGTCCTCTAAAATAAATCCAGACATCTAATGGGCACGGGAAGAGTTTCATTATTTGTACGTCTTTATATTTTATATTTTAACATAAGCCGCGCGGTTACGGATCCCGAAACCATTTTCGCTGGCCATGGGAAATGTGATGTTTCTTTGAAATTGGGTTTTCAAGTGTAATTGACACTGCTTCGAAACTGGGCTCGGTCAGTTTCCCAGGTAAAAATACCAATCAGAAACCGAGTTTTGGACAGTGAGCGTGCAGCTCGTGATCAATCATTAGACGTTTCAAGAGGAACCTTGAACGCACTGAATTTGTCAGTTTTCTCCTTCAAGCGTATCTATTCGGATCAGTTTCTGCGCCTCCTTATGCCGCCTAATAACTAACCGCACAGCCATATTGTAATTTGATCTATTGGTGTCATCGCTGAATGATTTCTTCAGCTGTGTATTTCTTTCTAACCTTTTATTTTTTTCATACGCAATACTTGAATGCAAAAATTTGCTTTGTGTCAATAAAGAATGTACAACATCATTGTTCAGTTGTCAATTGCGAAATTATTTACTATCTTTTTTTTCTTTCGTTGAAATTAGGTTAATGGTTCGGAATCTATTTTATTGGCAATTAGCGCTTTTTTTTTGTTTGTTTGTTTTCAGCAAGTATTGCATTGAGTTAACAACATTTCTTGTTTGGTGCGCGTGAACATAGGAATACAATTTGGACGATTGGGAGAACAGTACTACCGAACAGGCTTAAGAAAAGTAAGGGGGCAAAATAATGTAAAAGAATATAACTGAATGGATGAAAACGATTCCTGGAAGGCAAGGAACTTGTTTTAATGTTAAGATTCATTTCTGTTTTCATAATTACATAGTTCTGTTTTCATAATGTAGAAATACCATTTTACTTCAGGTGCAAACGTAATTAAAAGTTGTATCTTCCCCAGGTTCGATATCCTCTGGTTGGATATTTGGAGGTAATCTACCAATGGCTAATGAAACTTCCGATTCACAAGGAGAAATTTCGCCAACACACCTGACTTTGCAAAGGAACTCAACCTTTCCCACATCAGCTGATGATGTGATTTCAAAGATTGAATTTCTCAAGTACTGGAAAATGGTGCTTTTGATTCTTTATTCCACAATATTTGCGACGAGCGCGGTGGGCAACGGTCTCGTTTGCTTCATTATATTAAGGAGAAGAGCCATGAAGAGCGTCGTGAACTATCTTATTTTGAATCTTGCAGTCGCGGACCTTGTGTTTACTTGTATATGCATACCGTTTGATATCCCAGTACAAGAAATGGACTATTATTGGCCCTACGGTGCGTTTTTGTGCAGAGTTATATACCCTTTGCAGACTCAAACTTTGTTTGCTTCTGTGTACACTCTCGTTGCATTGAGCCTTTCGAGGTACTGGGCCGTCGTACATCCGCTTAGACAACAACTGAAAGTCGAGAGAGTTAAGTGGGTGATTCTTTGGATCTGGGTTGCATCATTCATTCCGGTGTGTCCCTATATTGCCACCCTCCAGCTGAACCCTACGACGTTAAGTTGTGAAGAGAACTGGAAGAGTGAGAGGTCAAGGAAGGCCTACACGCTGTCACTGTTCTTTCTTCAGTATGTGATCCCACTGACAGTTATTTCTTGCGCACATCTCAGTATTGCTTTAGACCTGAAACGAAAAACGACAACGCGGAGGAAAAGTGTTATCCGCGAAGTTCACTACAAGGAAGCCAGAAAGGTCGCAAGGATGTTGGCAACCGTAACATTACTGTTTGCTGCTTGTGTCTTGCCTAATAACATCCTGTGGCTGTGGCTAGACTTCGGGGCAGCTGACAAAAACGTTTCTTACTTCTGGGAGCTCTTGTCGTTTGGTAACATTGTAGTATTTGCTAACAGTGCTCTGAATCCCCTGTTTTACACGATGATGAACGACGCTTACAGAAAGGAAATCAAGAAAGTCCTTTTAAGGTGTTTAAAAATAGAGTAAAATAAACAAGACAAGAAATTTTCTCCTCCTTTGTCAAATCATTAACATGTTGTGTCATTATTGTCATCTGATTTGATTTTCTTTTTCTTTCTCAATATTTATGTTACGCCATTGATTTTGTATTCTTTAACTTCTCCTTAACCTTAATTGGGAAGTGCGCTGGCCTCGTGGTTAGTGCGCTTCGGCTCTGGATCGAGCAGTCTGGGTTCGAGTCCTGGCTGGGGACACTGTGTTTTGTTCTTAGGCAAGACACTTTACTCTCACAGTGCCTCCTCCCGGCCACCCAGTTGTATAATATGGGTACAGGAGAATTTGATGCTGTGGGGTAACCCTGCGATAGAATAGTATCTCAAACAGGGTGGACTAGAATACTCCTGGTCGCTTCATGCTGGAGATAAGCATCGGCCTGGTGGGTAACTTGGCTCGTTTGCAGACTTTACCTTTTCCTACCTTACCGTTAATTATGCCTGCATTTACAGTACCGTGATTGAAGCCTTAATTTCATATATTTGGGAGGGAGGGAGGGAGGAAGCAATTATACTCGCACAATATAAACTGTAGTTTTGAACTGTAGACTTATGTAACATTTTTGTTGGGTATTAGAACCGAAATCTTCTAGTAGAAAATAAATCCCATAAAGTATATTGCATAATGGAAATGATTTGAATCAATTGGTAAGCAGGTGGTGAACAGGTTGTCAAAATTTTCGCAAAGTGATGAATTCAATAGGCAGAGAGCTGTATTCGAAAATGATAATATTAATAATCAATTGGCTTGGGCGAATGGATCACTAGTGATAATAGAATCCACATCAGAACTTTCATTGGATATTCAGCTACATTAAATTACAAACTCATTGATATGGCTCCCTTACGGTCAGACCTTGACAATAAAAAGAAATTTTTAATCCTGCACCATTGTCCCCAACAGATTTTTGACACAAATACACGTGACTGCACGCAGTGTAATAAGTTTGAAAAAATTTGATATGCAGAATATACCTGCAGGTATTTTAAGTACAGTCGAACCTCCGGTTGCGACCACCTCTCGTAAGGAACCACCCCTACTCAGCGACCAGTTTTCCAAAATACCTAAAGTTTCCGAGTCAAATCACTATATTTGGAACCTCTTGTAGGCGACCAGCTCTCGTAAGCGACCGCGACCAACTTTAGAGCTAAAAGCTTGAAATTTCTTTTGTTTTTAACCTCCCGTAGACGACCACTAATCAGATAATAGAGCGGAGACTGGATGATAAGGTGTTGTAACATTGTCGCGATCCGGATAGTACAGGGGATGGAAATATCTTGATGGGAAGAATCGGATTTTCTCTCGAAATTAACTTTTCCAATGAATAAAGCATTTTAAGTCTCCGCAGTTACCATATGCTAATGAGGCAAAATTTTGACCCAGTATGGTCTAAGCTCTCGTAAGCGACCATCTCCCGTAAACGACCACCTAGGGTTGACATTTGGGGTGGTCGCTTACGGGAGGTTCGAGTATATATTTATATCTTTTCCATTATTAATTTTTTTCAGCTATTATCATCAGGAGTGCGATTTTTATTCATTTTATTTATGTTCCGCATTTAAATCGCAATTCGAAAGGAAAAAGGAAGGAAAATTCTAACTGTTCAGCGCTTTGAAAGAGCTCTCCAAAGAGATCTTTAGTCCTTTTAGTACTTTTCGCGAAACAGTCTTAGAGCAGGGTTAAAATGCAATTCTTGTCAGCTGCCGTGCCGCCTCACGTGCATCAGTCATGCATGCAGCTGAGAAATGACAAGACTTATTCTCGAAGTAAACTTAGGATAAACGCATAGAAGACAATTGTCCTGCCCAGCGCTTTGAAAATGCTTTCGAAAGAGACCTCTCTTGATAAAAACGTTGCGGACCTACAAACCTGGTAACTTTACACAGCACTTTCTAACAAACGAGAAACAAATATTTTAGCTGTCCTGCGCTTTAAATAAATACGTTTCGAAAGAGATGCTTTTCGCTTTAATCCGTTCGGCACTTTCCGAGAAACGACTTTCAAGCAGGTTAATAAATGCGAGTCCTGCCAGTGGCGCTTTGAGTTAATCATTCATGCAGGGAAATAGCACGACATCTATTTTAACTTCGGAGAAGCACGTACAATTTTCCGGTCCAGCGCTTTGAAAACGATTTCCAGTGCTCACAGTGCGGTAGTCCAAAACAAACTGTTTGTTTTTTTCTTTTCTCTCTCTCTCTTAACTCTCTAGATTTTCAATTTTGGATTTAGACGGACGCGATCCGATGACCGTTAATTGGGCATTGGTTGCGCGATCATGGCACTGAGACTAAAAATAACTTCTTGTTTTATACAGCTGTTTCGATAAAGGTTGTTCCGACACAAGCGTAAAAGCGAATGCGACAATACCGATTAATATTATGCCAATTATGGGTAGTAATAGTTTTGTATTCGTTGTTTGAGCTTCAGGAAGAAAAAGCATAAATATACGTGCTTGTGCTGTGTCCCTCTGTCATGGTGAAATGCCTTTAGCTTCAATCAAGCAACCGTTGGCAGCCATTACCCATAATACTTTTCGACATTGTCGCGTACGCTTTTGCAGCTGTTAAGTACATGTAATAATAGATTCGTTGACAATTGGAAGTTCTAACATGAAGCATATCAAACAGTTGGCAGTTCCTGGCTGTACAGCTTGTCACCTCACAGCGTTTTAACTTTTTGCGATCACATTACATGCTAACACAAGTCAGTCGCTAAGACTTTGTCTTAGCCAATCTTTATATAATCTGTGTTCCTGTTTTCAAGTAAACGTCTTCCTGTTTGGTTTTAAGTGTTTTACCACTTTGCAGTTACCTCCAGTCGTTACGCCTCACAAACATACAGACTGTAAGTATAAATTACTTTGTTAAGCCAGACATTTTGCAGCATGGAGTCTTCAACTAGTTGTTACTTTTTCTGTATACAACGGGCGTTGTAATTTTCTTTCCGGCCACTTCCTTATTTTACATGAGATATCATTAAGTTCGCTTGTAAGCTCATGGCCGATGCTCCATTCGTTCTTTTAATACCATATTTTTTCTCTTATTCGCATATTTTTATTTTAGGTACTCGTTTCTTTTCGATCGATGTGACCGAACAAACCTCATTTTTGTATAATCTTACTTTTGGTTCGACAAGTGAAGTATTTCCGCTTTCTCTAAGTTTATCAGTTATGATTGCTTTCTTAAGAATGGTTGAATGAGTCGGTTAATTTCGAACTGAAAGGCAACGCTTGAGGGAGAAACTACGGTATTTACGTTTAGCAGGTGTCACCCTCTGTCGTGTCCTATGATCTGTTTCCTTGCGCCTGGTTGGGTGTTCGTTAGGTTTAGCCTGTGTACGTGCTCTAGGAATNGCTAGTGATACTTAATGCAGTTTTACCTCAGACCGTACCCTGTTACCTCAGCAACATGAGAAGTAATATCTAGATTGTTGCACTCGTTTGCTTTAATAGTAAATAACTAGCTCTCGTTCGTTAGTCGAACTACAAGCCCCCGGGAAGCCTCTTCTCTCTAGCAAGTTGATACCAGACAACAATTAGTATGTCCTCTAAAATAAATCCAGACATCTAATGGGCACGGGAAGAGTTTCATTATTTGTACGTCTTTATATTTTATATTTTAACATAAGCCGCGCGGTTACGGATCCCGAAACCATTTTCGCTGGCCATGGGAAATGTGATGTTTCTTTGAAATTGGGTTTTCAAGTGTAATTGACACTGCTTCGAAACTGGGCTCGGTCAGTTTCCCAGGTAAAAATACCAATCAGAAACCGAGTTTTGGACAGTGAGCGTGCAGCTCGTGATCAATCATTAGACGTTTCAAGAGGAACCTTGAACGCACTGAATTTGTCAGTTTTCTCCTTCAAGCGTATCTATTCGGATCAGTTTCTGCGCCTCCTTATGCCGCCTAATAACTAACCGCACAGCCATATTGTAATTTGATCTATTGGTGTCATCGCTGAATGATTTCTTCAGCTGTGTATTTCTTTCTAACCTTTTATTTTTTTCATACGCAATACTTGAATGCAAAAATTTGCTTTGTGTCAATAAAGAATGTACAACATCATTGTTCAGTTGTCAATTGCGAAATTATTTACTATCTTTTTTTTCTTTCGTTGAAATTAGGTTAATGGTTCGGAATCTATTTTATTGGCAATTAGCGCTTTTTTTTTGTTTGTTTGTTTTCAGCAAGTATTGCATTGAGTTAACAACATTTCTTGTTTGGTGCGCGTGAACATAGGAATACAATTTGGACGATTGGGAGAACAGTACTACCGAACAGGCTTAAGAAAAGTAAGGGGGCAAAATAATGTAAAAGAATATAACTGAATGGATGAAAACGATTCCTGGAAGGCAAGGAACTTGTTTTAATGTTAAGATTCATTTCTGTTTTCATAATTACATAGTTCTGTTTTCATAATGTAGAAATACCATTTTACTTCAGGTGCAAACGTAATTAAAAGTTGTATCTTCCCCAGGTTCGATATCCTCTGGTTGGATATTTGGAGGTAATCTACCAATGGCTAATGAAACTTCCGATTCACAAGGAGAAATTTCGCCAACACACCTGACTTTGCAAAGGAACTCAACCTTTCCCACATCAGCTGATGATGTGATTTCAAAGATTGAATTTCTCAAGTACTGGAAAATGGTGCTTTTGATTCTTTATTCCACAATATTTGCGACGAGCGCGGTGGGCAACGGTCTCGTTTGCTTCATTATATTAAGGAGAAGAGCCATGAAGAGCGTCGTGAACTATCTTATTTTGAATCTTGCAGTCGCGGACCTTGTGTTTACTTGTATATGCATACCGTTTGATATCCCAGTACAAGAAATGGACTATTATTGGCCCTACGGTGCGTTTTTGTGCAGAGTTATATACCCTTTGCAGACTCAAACTTTGTTTGCTTCTGTGTACACTCTCGTTGCATTGAGCCTTTCGAGGTACTGGGCCGTCGTACATCCGCTTAGACAACAACTGAAAGTCGAGAGAGTTAAGTGGGTGATTCTTTGGATCTGGGTTGCATCTTTCATTTCGGTGTGTCCCTATATTGCCACCCTCCAGCTGAATTCTACGACGTTAAGTTGTGAAGAGAACTGGAAGAGTGAGAGGTCAAGGAAGGCCTACACGTTGTCACTGTTCTTTCTTCAGTATGTGATCCCACTGACAGTTATTTCTTGCGCACATCTCAGTATTGCTTTAGACCTGAAACGAAAAACGACAACGCGGAGGAAAAGTGTTATCCGCGAAGTTCACTACAAGGAAGCCAGAAAGGTCGCAAGGATGTTGGCAACCGTAACATTACTGTTTGCTGCTTGTGTCTTGCCTAATAACATCCTGTGGCTGTGGCTAGACTTCGGGGCAGCTGACAAAAACGTTTCTTACTTCTGGGAGCTCTTGTCGTTTGGTAACATTGTAGTATTTGCTAACAGTGCTCTGAATCCCCTGTTTTACACGATGATGAACGACGCTTACAGAAAGGAAATCAAGAAAGTCCTTTTAAGGTGTTTAAAAATAGAGTAAAATAAACAAGACAAGAAATTTTCTCCTCCTTTGTCAAATCATTAACATGTTGTGTCATTATTGTCATCTGATTTGATTTTCTTTTTCTTTCTCAATATTTATGTTACGCCATTGATTTTGTATTCTTTAACTTCTCCTTAACCTTAATTGGGAAGTGCGCTGGCCTCGTGGTTAGTGCGCTTCGGCTCTGGATCGAGCAGTCTGGGTTCGAGTCCTGGCTGGGGACACTGTGTTTTGTTCTTAGGCAAGACACTTTACTCTCACAGTGCCTCCTCCCGGCCACCCAGTTGTATAATATGGGTACAGGAGAATTTGATGCTGTGGGGTAACCCTGCGATAGAATAGTATCTCAAACAGGGTGGACTAGAATACTCCTGGTCGCTTCATGCTGGAGATAAGCATCGGCCTGGTGGGTAACTTGGCTCGTTTGCAGACTTTACCTTTTCCTACCTTACCGTTAATTATGCCTGCATTTACAGTACCGTGATTGAAGCCTTAATTTCATATATTTGGGAGGGAGGGAGGGAGGAAGCAATTATACTCGCACAATATAAACTGTAGTTTTGAACTGTAGACTTATGTAACATTTTTGTTGGGTATTAGAACCGAAATCTTCTAGTAGAAAATAAATCCCATAAAGTATATTGCATAATGGAAATGATTTGAATCAATTGGTAAGCAGGTGGTGAACAGGTTGTCAAAATTTTCGCAAAGTGATGAATTCAATAGGCAGAGAGCTGTATTCGAAAATGATAATATTAATAATCAATTGGCTTGGGCGAATGGATCACTAGTGATAATAGAATCCACATCAGAACTTTCATTGGATATTCAGCTACATTAAATTACAAACTCATTGATATGGCTCCCTTACGGTCAGACCTTGACAATAAAAAGAAATTTTTAATCCTGCACCATTGTCCCCAACAGATTTTTGACACAAATACACGTGACTGCACGCAGTGTAATAAATTTGAAAAAATTTGATATGCAGAATATACCTGCAGGTATTTTAAGTACAGTCGAACCTCCGGTTGCGACCACCTCTCGTAAGGAACCACCCCTACTCAGCGACCAGTTTTCCAAAATACCTAAAGTTTCCGAGTCAAATCACTATATTTGGAACCTCTTGTAGGCGACCAGCTCTCGTAAGCGACCGCGACCAACTTTAGAGCTAAAAGCTTGAAATTTCTTTTGTTTTTAACCTCCCGTAGACGACCACTAATCAGATAATAGAGCGGAGACTGGATGATAAGGTGTTGTAACATTGTCGCGATCCGGATAGTACAGGGGATGGAAATATCTTGATGGGAAGAATCGGATTTTCTCTCGAAATTAACTTTTCCAATGAATAAAGCATTTTAAGTCTCCGCAGTTACCATATGCTAATGAGGCAAAATTTTGACCCAGTATGGTCTAAGCTCTCGTAAGCGACCATCTCCCGTAAACGACCACCTAGGGTTGACATTTGGGGTGGTCGCTTACGGGAGGTTCGAGTATATATTTATATCTTTTCCATTATTAATTTTTTTCAGCTATTATCATCAGGAGTGCGATTTTTATTCATTTTATTTATGTTCCGCATTTAAATCGCAATTCGAAAGGAAAAAGGAAGGAAAATTCTAACTGTTCAGCGCTTTGAAAGAGCTCTCCAAAGAGATCTTTAGTCCTTTTAGTACTTTTCGCGAAACAGTCTTAGAGCAGGGTTAAAATGCAATTCTTGTCAGCTGCCGTGCCGCCTCACGTGCATCAGTCATGCATGCAGCTGAGAAATGACAAGACTTATTCTCGAAGTAAACTTAGGATAAACGCATAGAAGACAATTGTCCTGCCCAGCGCTTTGAAAATGCTTTCGAAAGAGACCTCTCTTGATAAAAACGTTGCGGACCTACAAACCTGGTAACTTTACACAGCACTTTCTAACAAACGAGAAACAAATATTTTAGCTGTCCTGCGCTTTAAATAAATACGTTTCGAAAGAGATGCTTTTCGCTTTAATCCGTTCGGCACTTTCCGAGAAACGACTTTCAAGCAGGTTAATAAATGCGAGTCCTGCCAGTGGCGCTTTGAGTTAATCATTCATGCAGGGAAATAGCACGACATCTATTTTAACTTCGGAGAAGCACGTACAATTTTCCGGTCCAGCGCTTTGAAAACGATTTCCAGTGCTCACAGTGCGGTAGTCCAAAACAAACTGTTTGTTTTTTTCTTTTCTCTCTCTCTCTTAACTCTCTAGATTTTCAATTTTGGATTTAGACGGACGCGATCCGATGACCGTTAATTGGGCATTGGTTGCGCGATCATGGCACTGAGACTAAAAATAACTTCTTGTTTTATACAGCTGTTTCGATAAAGGTTGTTCCGACACAAGCGTAAAAGCGAATGCGACAATACCGATTAATATTATGCCAATTATGGGTAGTAATAGTTTTGTATTCGTTGTTTGAGCTTCAGGAAGAAAAAGCATAAATATACGTGCTTGTGCTGTGTCCCTCTGTCATGGTGAAATGCCTTTAGCTTCAATCAAGCAACCGTTGGCAGCCATTACCCATAATACTTTTCGACATTGTCGCGTACGCTTTTGCAGCTGTTAAGTACATGTAATAATAGATTCGTTGACAATTGGAAGTTCTAACATGAAGCATATCAAACAGTTGGCAGTTCCTGGCTGTACAGCTTGTCACCTCACAGCGTTTTAACTTTTTGCGATCACATTACATGCTAACACAAGTCAGTCGCTAAGACTTTGTCTTAGCCAATCTTTATATAATCTGTGTTCCTGTTTTCAAGTAAACGTCTTCCTGTTTGGTTTTAAGTGTTTTACCACTTTGCAGTTACCTCCAGTCGTTACGCCTCACAAACATACAGACTGTAAGTATAAATTACTTTGTTAAGCCAGACATTTTGCAGCATGGAGTCTTCAACTAGTTGTTACTTTTTCTGTATACAACGGGCGTTGTAATTTTCTTTCCGGCCACTTCCTTATTTTACATGAGATATCATTAAGTTCGCTTGTAAGCTCATGGCCGATGCTCCATTCGTTCTTTTAATACCATATTTTTTCTCTTATTCGCATATTTTTATTTTAGGTACTCGTTTCTTTTCGATCGATGTGACCGAACAAACCTCATTTTTGTATAATCTTACTTTTGGTTCGACAAGTGAAGTATTTCCGCTTTCTCTAAGTTTATCAGTTATGATTGCTTTCTTAAGAATGGTTGAATGAGTCGGTTAATTTCGAACTGAAAGGCAACGCTTGAGGGAGAAACTACGGTATTTACGTTTAGCAGGTGTCACCCTCTGTCGTGTCCTATGATCTGTTTCCTTGCGCCTGGTTGGGTGTTCGTTAGGTTTAGCCTGTGTACGTGCTCTAGGAATGAATACAGTCGCTTCTGGCGCAGTTCTTTTTTAGGCGCTTCAGTTTTTAATTCTTTACCTTTACAAGTCAACCAAATTAGCATTAGGGTACTATTTAGGGAGTCTTTAGATCAATTTTTTGTATATTGTAGTTAATAAGTTATGAAGTCATTCTTTTCTTATTTTAGTTTTTATCCTTATATTATGTTATTTAGACAAGACCCCTTTGATAACAGTACTCTTGCACTGAAGGGCTATCCTGTATAAATATTCGTGACTATGATTATGATTATGATTATGATTATGATTATGATTATGATTATGATTACTATCAGACATGAAATAAATTTAATCATCTACATGCATGTTTTATTTGCAATGTCGGTATTCCTCTTTACGCTATCACGGGAAGGAGCTGTCGGATAAGTGGGTCCCCCCGGATTCTTAATATCTGTTTCAGGTGTTTTCCTGTATCATTCAATGCCTCATTTGTCCTTTATCTTTTATAGTTTTACAGCATTTTGTTCGGCGTGTCGGGCATAGGAATAGAGATGCCTCTAACAATAATATATATTTATAGAATTTGATTAATCGCGGGGATACTCACCAAAGCGAGTATAAGAGACATCAGTACAGATGTTCATGTAAAGCAGCTTATGCGTATTCATTGCTATTTCGGCTAGTTAAGAAAACACAGCGATCATTGCCTCCACCCGGCATGCATTTAATTTGGTCTTTTATACTAGCATTGATAATAATATTAATAATAATAATAATAATCACTATCCATGACAATTCTCTACATTGACTGCTGTCAGACGGTTGTTTCGCTTCCAGCCTACCCAAGCTGTCTCTGTGTCTATGAGCATCGCATCTGAACCTCGATAGCAGTAGCAGTGGATCTAGAGGAGGGAACCCGGGGGCCCGCCTCCTCCGCCCCCCTTTACTTTGGATAAAAAAAGAAAAAAAATCACAGGAGGAAGAAAAGCCGGCAGGGCAAGCAAAACACTCCATTCCCCACTTAGCTCAAGGTCTGGATCCGCCACTGGATGGGAGCGAGTTAGTGAGGCTGGTTTGGTTACCTGCGATGTTTTTCTCCAGAATATTCATTTAACATCCGTTTCCATTGTTTGCCTGTCGTCTATTCTTTTTTCCGCGAAAGATGAAGTACCAGCAATCGGCCCAGCGTAACATCCGCTGTCGCTTAGAAAACGAGAGAAATGCGCCTTACGAGTAGAAAATAATAAAAGGCCTCGACATCTTTTTTATTTGTAGGCTTCAGACCCCTTTCATTGTAAATTTGAGTAGTAATCATGATTGTAAAATGTTTAACTCTTTAATGTTTTGGGGAACTAAAACTGATGTTGATTACATGCATGCACATTATTGCATGGGAACAGGTGTTTACAATTTGCATTTTCATGAAAACGAATCCATCCTTCAAATAACATTAATTGCTTTTTTCCCCTTTTCGCTGTTTAACTGTTTGCTTGGTGTACGTCTGTATGTCGACTAACGAAAACCAACCGGGTTGGTTAACTAAAAATCAAGTTTGTCTTGGAAGGAATTCTGACAACCAGCGAGTGTCATAGCGTGCTTAACACAAACTAAATAGAAAGATGGCTTCTAGAATGAAATAAGAATAGTACTGACTAAGGATTAATACTTGGGAAGATAACAAAAGATGAGGAAAAGCTTTTTACAAGTAAGCCAATTCAGGTAGCCCTTCCGAAAAGCGAGATGCTATGAAATTATTTCGTACATGCTTTCGAAGAAAATAATTAAACACTGTCTCTGCGGAATTGTACACATATGCCAACGCTTGTGACATGGGACTGTCTTTTGGAATATAAATATTTAAAGTAAATCATTGGAACCAGACTACCAATTGCCCGCCTATCGCATATAGCTAGTCGCTGGGAGCTTTTCATGACATGTCATTCAAAGTAAGATATAGACACTTTACAAGGGAACGACAAAGAAATATACAAATAAACGATGAAAAAGGTTTAAAAGGCACTGAATAGGAAATTTAATGATACAGAGAATATTATACAGAAAAAAATAAAAATTATTTCAATCACAATCAAACTACTAGCGGCTAGCACCTATTTACTTTATTTTATTTACATATTTGTTTTTCTTTGGCTTCCAGGTGGTCTTTCGGAATTGTACGTTTTTCATTTAACCCTTGTGCGATCGATGTTCACGACCTAACTAAATAAGCAAATGATGAAAACGAAATTTAATGAGTCTGTTGTACAGGGAGGATTCCTTGCCGAAAATTCTTCAATTTCTACAAACTCCAACACGGTGGCAATGCAGCATTCCGAATCAGTGACATTTGATTTGAGAGCGCTCAAACTAACTCTCTACGCAATTATCTTCTTTGCAAGTGCAGTCGGTAATTCTCTTGTCTGCACAGTTATTTTACGAAGGAAAAAGATGAAGACGGTCACAAACTACTTCATATTGAACCTAGCCATTGCGGACTTGGCTTTGAATTGCATCTGTATTCCGTTCGATATTCCCGTGCAAGAAATGAACCGCAAATGGCCATATGGGGCGCTGCTGTGTAAAGTTATATACCCACTGCAGACGTTGGCACTTTTTGCATCCATATACACCCTAACGGCTGTCAGCTTATCGCGTTACTGGGCAATAAACCGCCCACTTCGTCAGCAGCTTACCATCAAAAACGCCAAATGGATCATCTTCGGAATATGGATTGCGTCGCTGATTTCGGTCACACCGTACATGAGCGTCTTGAAAAAGGACGGTGAAACAGACATGTGCGAAGAGGACTGGTCGAGCAAAAGTGCAAGAAAAACCTATACAGCTTCCCTGTTCGTGTTCCAGTACTTGCTTCCACTAACTGTCATTGCGGGCGCATACGTCAGCATTGGATGGGAGCTTGCACGGCGCACAAAAAACGGGAACGGCTACCTGCAGGATCTCCAAGCGAACGAGGAGAAGAAAGTAGTGCGCATGCTTAAAGTAGTAACGCTGATGTTTGCAGTGTGTGTTTTGCCAACCAACGTTATGTGGCTTTGGCTGGACTTTGGCAACGCNTATGATTATGATTATGATTATGATTATGATTATGATTACTATCAGACATGAAATAAATTTAATCATCTACATGCATGTTTTATTTGCAATGTCGGTATTCCTCTTTACGCTATCACGGGAAGGAGCTGTCGGATAAGTGGGTCCCCCCGGATTCTTAATATCTGTTTCAGGTGTTTTCCTGTATCATTCAATGCCTCATTTGTCCTTTATCTTTTATAGTTTTACAGCATTTTGTTCGGCGTGTCGGGCATAGGAATAGAGATGCCTCTAACAATAATATATATTTATAGAATTTGATTAATCGCGGGGATACTCACCAAAGCGAGTATAAGAGACATCAGTACAGATGTTCATGTAAAGCAGCTTATGCGTATTCATTGCTATTTCGGCTAGTTAAGAAAACACAGCGATCATTGCCTCCACCCGGCATGCATTTAATTTGGTCTTTTATACTAGCATTGATAATAATATTAATAATAATAATAATAATCACTATCCATGACAATTCTCTACATTGACTGCTGTCAGACGGTTGTTTCGCTTCCAGCCTACCCAAGCTGTCTCTGTGTCTATGAGCATCGCATCTGAACCTCGATAGCAGTAGCAGTGGATCTAGAGGAGGGAACCCGGGGGCCCGCCTCCTCCGCCCCCCTTTACTTTGGATAAAAAAAGAAAAAAAATCACAGGAGGAAGAAAAGCCGGCAGGGCAAGCAAAACACTCCATTCCCCACTTAGCTCAAGGTCTGGATCCGCCACTGGATGGGAGCGAGTTAGTGAGGCTGGTTTGGTTACCTGCGATGTTTTTCTCCAGAATATTCATTTAACATCCGTTTCCATTGTTTGCCTGTCGTCTATTCTTTTTTCCGCGAAAGATGAAGTACCAGCAATCGGCCCAGCGTAACATCCGCTGTCGCTTAGAAAACGAGAGAAATGCGCCTTACGAGTAGAAAATAATAAAAGGCCTCGACATCTTTTTTATTTGTAGGCTTCAGACCCCTTTCATTGTAAATTTGAGTAGTAATCATGATTGTAAAATGTTTAACTCTTTAATGTTTTGGGGAACTAAAACTGATGTTGATTACATGCATGCACATTATTGCATGGGAACAGGTGTTTACAATTTGCATTTTCATGAAAACGAATCCATCCTTCAAATAACATTAATTGCTTTTTTCCCCTTTTCGCTGTTTAACTGTTTGCTTGGTGTACGTCTGTATGTCGACTAACGAAAACCAACCGGGTTGGTTAACTAAAAATCAAGTTTGTCTTGGAAGGAATTCTGACAACCAGCGAGTGTCATAGCGTGCTTAACACAAACTAAATAGAAAGATGGCTTCTAGAATGAAATAAGAATAGTACTGACTAAGGATTAATACTTGGGAAGATAACAAAAGATGAGGAAAAGCTTTTTACAAGTAAGCCAATTCAGGTAGCCCTTCCGAAAAGCGAGATGCTATGAAATTATTTCGTACATGCTTTCGAAGAAAATAATTAAACACTGTCTCTGCGGAATTGTACACATATGCCAACGCTTGTGACATGGGACTGTCTTTTGGAATATAAATATTTAAAGTAAATCATTGGAACCAGACTACCAATTGCCCGCCTATCGCATATAGCTAGTCGCTGGGAGCTTTTCATGACATGTCATTCAAAGTAAGATATAGACACTTTACAAGGGAACGACAAAGAAATATACAAATAAACGATGAAAAAGGTTTAAAAGGCACTGAATAGGAAATTTAATGATACAGAGAATATTATACAGAAAAAAATAAAAATTATTTCAATCACAATCAAACTACTAGCGGCTAGCACCTATTTACTTTATTTTATTTACATATTTGTTTTTCTTTGGCTTCCAGGTGGTCTTTCGGAATTGTACGTTTTTCATTTAACCCTTGTGCGATCGATGTTCACGACCTAACTAAATAAGCAAATGATGAAAACGAAATTTAATGAGTCTGTTGTACAGGGAGGATTCCTTGCCGAAAATTCTTCAATTTCTACAAACTCCAACACGGTGGCAATGCAGCATTCCGAATCAGTGACATTTGATTTGAGAGCGCTCAAACTAACTCTCTACGCAATTATCTTCTTTGCAAGTGCAGTCGGTAATTCTCTTGTCTGCACAGTTATTTTACGAAGGAAAAAGATGAAGACGGTCACAAACTACTTCATATTGAACCTAGCCATTGCGGACTTGGCTTTGAATTGCATCTGTATTCCGTTCGATATTCCCGTGCAAGAAATGAACCGCAAATGGCCATATGGGGCGCTGCTGTGTAAAGTTATATACCCACTGCAGACGTTGGCACTTTTTGCATCCATATACACCCTAACGGCTGTCAGCTTATCGCGTTACTGGGCAATAAACCGCCCACTTCGTCAGCAGCTTACCATCAAAAACGCCAAATGGATCATCTTCGGAATATGGATTGCGTCGCTGATTTCGGTCACACCGTACATGAGCGTCTTGAAAAAGGACGGTGAAACAGACATGTGCGAAGAGGACTGGTCGAGCAAAAGTGCAAGAAAAACCTATACAGCTTCCCTGTTCGTGTTCCAGTACTTGCTTCCACTAACTGTCATTGCGGGCGCATACGTCAGCATTGGATGGGAGCTTGCACGGCGCACAAAAAACGGGAACGGCTACCTGCAGGATCTCCAAGCGAACGAGGAGAAGAAAGTAGTGCGCATGCTTAAAGTAGTAACGCTGATGTTTGCAGTGTGTGTTTTGCCAACCAACGTTATGTGGCTTTGGCTGGACTTTGGCAACGCTGCTCAATACGATAAATTCTGGGAACTTGTCGCATTCTCCAACATAATAACGTTTGCAAACAGCGCAGCCAATCCAATTTGCTATACGATCCTGAACGAAAGCTATCGCAATGCGTTCAAAGATCATCTGTCCAAGATATTTTGCAAGATCTCCAGAAGTTCTACTTGGGTTCAAATAGAACTTGTGGACAATGCTACAAGCCAAAAGAAAAGTCGAAGGGCTAAAATGAGTTCTACTCTGTTATGAACATAAAAGGGCCTTTTTCTTCCCTTTTCGTTCACCCTGATCTGAAATTTTCACATTTGTAAAATATATTTAACATAATCTATTGGCATTTCATGACTGTCGAGGGAAGAAGTGCTATAAAAGTTATAGGACTTTCGTTTGAGTTGTAAGTCTATGTAATCGCATGGGCCCTTGGGCAATTAAGGATTAATTTCACGCGTATTTTCAATGTTTTCACAAAATTGCCCGAGTCGCAAAGCGACGAAGACATTGAAAAAACTTTGAAAATACCAATGAAATTAATCCTTAATTGCCCGAGGGTACTGGCGTTTACTTGTTTATCACATAAAAGGGCAAAATTCTGTTCAAAGGAAAACTTTCAAGGTCTTGCCGTTACGTAAACAGGTTCGCCGGTTTTCATAAAGAACAGGCTAGCAGTAGAACGGGAGAAGCCTACTATTATAGTAAGCAAAACACAGCAAGTTCAATTCACTCCAAGCAATTTCTTTTCAAATAAAACTTTAAGCAATCTAATTTTATTCACCTCTTTTGCGAAGCTTGCAACGGCGTGAAACTTCTTCATCGATCGATGAAAGACGTAAACAAGTGTCCAAACGAGGTCTAACAACTTCTTGAATCCAAAACTCAATCGCCTTTCCACTGCGACTTAACTTACCAGCAAAATTTACGCTGTTTTTTGCGCCAGTAAGGCAACCTGTGATACTAATGAGGCAACCCGAAGCGAAACGAAGAAATTAACGTTCAGTTTGGCGGTCGTGAAGCTCTGTAACCCTATGCTTCGTGCGACACCGGCCATCCCAACTCAGGCTGGGAATCCATGCATTTTTTGGATGGAAAATCCTTTGCTTTTCCACCAAAAGACTGCGCTTTGCTGCATGTCGATGTTCTTTCTCCTTATGATGAAATAAACCCCCTCAGAAGCGATACGTTTCTGAAATATTAATTCCTTTTCAAAATCCGTTTGAAGCGAGAAACCAACTTGATGCAGGCGCGCTCAGCCAATCAGCATCAAGTAATCATGCCCTCTTTGTGCCCTCGTGATCGAGGAATAAAAATGCCCTCTGTCTCAGCCAATCAGCATTCAGTAATTTTTGTCCCGTATGTGATAAATATATATATATATTGTTTACACATGATTTTAAAGCGTTTTACCGTTTTTAATGTTTTGAAGAAATTGCGATATTAACTATATGCACGTTACTGATAATGACAGGTGTTTACAAATTGTGTTTTCATATCAACAAAGCCGTCTTTTAGTTAACGATGACTATTAATTTTTTTAATTTTTTTCTCTCTTTTATTAGTTTATGTATTGTGGTCGAATAACGAAGCCGACCGCGTAGCCTTACTAAAAATCAGTTTCAACCTGAAAGGAATTCTGACAACCAGTGAGTCAGTAGCGTGCTCACCACATACGCGGAATGAGATATGGTTCATAGAAGGAAATGGAGAGCGTGTCGACTTATCAAGCCTATTGTGCTTCTGAGGAAATACCAAAAGACAAATACGGGAAAAAATTTCCACAAGCCATCCAGTTCAGACAGCTTGTCGAGAAGAGCAAGATACTATAAACTTATAACTTCAGTCTTTTTTTTTTTAAGATTAGAGTAATTAGACACTGCGAATGGGGAAATACATTTCAACCCTTTCGGCATGAGATGAACGTCTTTCGGAACATAAATATTTAAGCTAAACCGATGGAACTAGACTGTCACTTAGCCAAATTTAGCATTTAAATGAAATCTTCCGTGCAAGGAACAACAATTGTGGGCTCAGATCATTGTTGTGTTTACTATCGCTGTGGCAATTAATTAGTAAATTTTGTGTGCTACCCGACATGAATGAGGATAAAGGGCTAGATGCGCCACGTTTTTAGAAGCTTTTTCGTTTCATCACTCACCTGCAGGCGGACATTCAGGCTAATTTGCTCAAAATTGTGTAGTTTCTCTTTTTAATGCATCCGCGTTTTAACGGAAAATTAAAATTCAAAGCGGCAACTCTGTAAATATAGTATTCTGTCGCTCTTCTTGAAGTAAAAAAAAAAAAAGAGTTGTTAAAAAGCATAGAGACATCTCTGTAAATATAGTATTATGTCGGTCTCTTTTGAGGGTAGAAAAAAGTCTTTAAGTAATATTAAAATTTAAAGAGGCAGCTCTGAAAATATAGCATTTTCTTTCTCTATTATTTCCATTTTTTTTACTTATAACGAAGAAACATCTTTGTCGTCTAGAAGTACATGTAACTGTGTTACCTTTGTAGTCATAACAACCCACTCTTTCATAAGGTACAAATTAGTAAACTCTTACAAGATGATAATTGAATTGACATAATTGATATGAAGTTTCACAAGACATGCGCAATCACCTGTGTCAATTTAAAGTGTTTAAAAGATAAGACGGCAGGGATATTGTTACGCCACGAATCTGCAAGAGAATCGTCAAAGGAAGGTTTAAGAGCGCGTCGATGTAATCCACAACGGTTAAGTTGCAGAGAAAAGGTAGGACTGTGAAGCTTAAGTAATTGTGTCTTTGGTTGCCGACGTGATGTTGAATGCAAAGCTACATGTATGAAGTGGCCAAAATTGAGTCTTAAGTAACATGGACTAGCTGTATCGCGTCTAAACTAGAAGTACAAGTAGTAGTATTAATATTAAATAATGCCGTGTTCTTGAACATATAAATGATAAGAGAAGTTAGACTTTGAAATGAACATTCTAAAGCTTTGGGTTTATGAGAGTTTTGTGTTTCATGATCGTTGTCTAAAAGCAATCTTTAATGCGGTCCTTTGGAGCCTTCTCCCTTGAGGGGTATTTGAATAGACATTTCGCATTATTGTTCAGACTTTTTCTAAAAGGGACTGTGGTTTAATCATCGATATGGTGGACAGGTGTGAAAAAAAGACATTTAGCTTGAAAAAGGAAGAGTTTACATTTTTGGTAGTATGCTAAATATCCTGGGAACCAAGAGTATATTTACCTCGGTACTTGAAATAAACGGTATTAGCCAATCATGATAAACGAAAACCTGTTAACTAAATTGAAAATGATATTAGTGTATAAAGAAAACCGACCTTGTCATATGCAAATATAATTATTGCTTGTAATGACTGCTGATATGTTTTTATTGGGTACAAAGAAAACAGTATTAACCTGTCCTTTCACCTATGAACAAAATATTAGCCTGAAGAAGATAATGCCAAAAAAGAAGACTTTGTGGGAGAGATTGCAAGTAATGCGACATAAATTGGACAAGCATCGGGTGTTTGTCAGTGATCATGATTGAAGGTAAATTAGTACACAGAAAAACGTTATCTTTGTCAAGCTTCTTCCTTAGCGATTGTAAGTTGCTTGAACGAACAAGATTGCAACAAGGAAGGCTTCCTCGTTCAGCCATTGGCACGCCACAACTTGAGCAACGAGACTTGAATCGGACTAAGGAAGATGAGAATTCAAAGAAACTCTTGTCGATTTATGCCACAGGAGCAAATGAAATATCAGCTATATATAATAAACTTTGGCCTTAGTTCCGTCAGTTGTTATCATTATTTCTCATCCATGGAATTCAGCGTGATCTTCTTTTCTCATCCCTTCTGGGCTTTTTCTCTTTCAATCGGGAGCGAAAAGGATAACGGGAAGTCCAATTTGAGCGCGTAAAGTTACAGCTACCGGTCTTCAGTATTGCAATTGCGTGAAATGATATTCTAAAGGGCAAAGATATCTTCTACAGTATGATCAGATTGCATTGTACTAAAGGGGTAGCGAATTGACCTTGACAAACCACGAGCTTTGCAAACTTTTCATCGAATTTCACGGAGTCTCGCAGTTGTGTGTTATTTTAGCGGAGTATGAATCCAGTGGACTAACTTGAAATAACGACTTAGCTTGACGACTTGAGCGGTTTTACTCGATACCACTTCACTTGATTGTACTTAGGGATTCCGTTGATTGCAAATTAATCATGATCATGAAAGATACTCATCAAGGCTTTAGCAGACTGGTCTGGTGTAGGTTTGGCCAAGGTCGAACTTAGCTTTGGCAGTTATTCGTCGAGTTTGCGAGCGCAAGTCCGCCTCAAAGGAAGCGACAGGGCGAACTGAAAGGAATAAAGGTTAGAATATTTTTTTTACAAAGTCTACCTTGAAAGTTTTAGCACATTAATCACGGAGAATATTATAAGAACATATAAGACATATCTAATCAAAAACATGCACAGTAACCCTAAGTCATGTATGAACCAGCGGGTAATTTTGTATTTTCTGTCTGACAATGTAACATGGAATGTGCTGCTACACGCCCGTACTAAAGAAAATCACTAGAACCACGATTGAAAGAAAGTGTGTATTGCTGTTTTGTGATATTTTCTACCCTTTGTGCATATTGTTCTTGATTGCCTTTTTATTTGTATAATTATTGCCAAAACAAATACCCTATCTTGATAGTGTTGTTATTCCTACTTAAAGGGTTTCTTTTTTTAGAAACAAATAAAAGATCTCTCCATTTTCATGTTATCCCTACTAATTAACTAGATATTATCAAGCAGAAAAATAACATTATATATCCGCTGATACAAGTGAAACCACACCGGCCCGGAACTCAAAGTAGACGAGCATGATAGGTAAAATTCACGATTTATTTACCTGGCAGTCGGTTACAGGTCTACAGTGACCTTTTTCGCCCAGATAGATGCTATTCAAATTGCTTAAATAAAAAGAAGAAAATAGATTTTTGTCATAAATACATGCTTGACTCGTAAAATTCCTGTGCATACCAATTCAGTGCTGAGTAATTGAAACAAGACGTCCAAAATTACTTTCAATGTAATGACGTCATAACCCACAGGCACTTGTGGATTAGCCAAAGACATCAACCAACAGTTCAACAATAGCAACGAAGCTTGCATGTGTAAACGGGATCTTGTTCCATTTAATGTATTTGTAAACACAACCTACTCTTCAAAAATCAATTTTCATATTATAATTATTCTCAATGACGCATTCACAAGCAGAACTTTGTACATCGTAAAATGAACGCAGGAATCACTCGAAATGACGATAGGTGGCCAAAGCTCTCGGGCCCACATTCCCGTGAAATTAAGTTCCGAACCAAATTATCACGTATCCACCACAATCTTGTTTTCCTCTATCACAGATCTCTTGATAATGGACGTCGATATAAATGGGGTACGTATCAAATGGCATTCGTTTTTCAACAACTTCAAAGTTGGTCGAGAGTTCAGCTATTTCAGTCACGTCAAAACATAAGGCATTTTAGACGCCCAATGAATACCATGACTTTCAACTCGAATACGCTACCTTTTGTTGCAGTTTAACGCCTCTAAGAACCACACGGGACCATTGTTTACCGGTAAGTAACCGAAAAAAGAAAAAAAATATATCTTGCTTTGCTACCTCTTCCAGTTCGGGTGAGTAACTGTTTTTGATTAACATAACCGAGACAGCTTGCTAGGCAGACGAGTTCAAAGGGCTTGCAATTGCCTTTCAGTGAGTTATAAATTTGCTTTCTAAGGCTAAATTTCTGCTCAAGTCCAGCGCAAATAAGCAATTCCTGCTCAGAGGGACAATGCTTCAGGTGCAAACCACGTTTTTGCAATCATAGGCGATTTCCAAACGGCGATAACAAAAATTACTTACTGATTTGCATCATGAACTGCGTTATGTAACGACCCCACAACGTTTATTCAGCAGAACTATAGATTATTGTCGGGATAAACGATTTAATTGGCAAGCTTTTGATACTCAAAGCAACACCCAGCACCTCCCGGTCAAACTGAAAAGCAAATTCTATGGAGTGACGTATTTCAATGGCAAAAATAAAGTGGGCACTTTGGCCAGCATATAGTTTCGCCTAGTCTAAAGCATGCTACTCAACAAATGGTGAAGATTGTATATGTAGAAGAGATATATTTTGTTGAGTTTCCTTACTGAAAACCTCTCCTTGGTTAACGCTAAGCTTGATTATAGAAAATCTAGCAATTGCTCAACGAACCGGAGCAAAAACCAGCTGTGATGATTCCATTATTTTTCAATTTAGGCCCTTGGCACTAACACTTTACATCTCCATATAAATATTTGCTCGCCTTCCCACAAATAACTCTTTCTTTCATGGCGTCAAATTCAAGTGCATTTAATTATGGTCCCCGCTAAGTTCTCTCGACTCATTTCCTTTTTCTAAGTACTTTAAGTTGGACGCGGTTTAGATCGGAACGGAATAGCGTATTTTTTTGCCACTGAAAGCATGGCTGACAATACACATCGAAATATGTAAAGAACTGGTTAAAAGGGGTATGGTTTAAATTTTCTGAGCGCCATGAGGTGATCATGTTTTTCTCGCCATCTGTAGCTTGAGGCAGTAACTATCCCTAAACATGCAATTTTATTGCTCAGAGAAACTATGTGGAATATGCTTTTGAGTCACGTACCTAGGACTTACCAAAGGAATTCAGGCGCGTGCTCGACTAAGGAGACTACCACCCCAGTCGATTCTGAGCAGTCTGGAAATTTTACTATATCTAAACAAACGGCTGGTTGTGTTCTGCCGGCAATCGATCGAAAGTCAGTGACTTCTAACATGGCTATCTCACCAGGTGCAACAAGATAATTAACAACAAAAAAAATCCTTGAGATTACATAACTTCTCTTTGGCTTTCGCCTCCTTCGCGAACGAAGACTATCACATATCGGCAATTACTCATAAATTTTTCAGTGCTGCATGTTTGAGTCCTACAAACGTTCTTTATAACTGAAGATTCTTTCCTTTTAAAAACAGGTGAAATATCTGAAGGCAATCTATTCTAAAATGATCTAAACTTTGTTGATCTGCGCTAACAGCTGGTTACGTTGATCAAGTGATCATTGTCAAAGACCTCGCATAAGTTTATCAGTTTAATGTACGGTATAGATACAATTTATTTTACTTCATTCGTTTTCATCAACCTCTTGAAAGAGGGCTGCTGAGCAGGGTGCTGGCCAGTACATACTTTGATTCACTCTGGTGTTAATAATGGCTTATCTCTGGACAGGAGTCGCCTTCATTCATTCTCGTTTTGTCATCACGCTTTAGTTATGCTTTGATTTTTCGGGGTAGCCTCTTCCAGGCGTTCAGTTAGTTGGGGCGAAACGCGCAAAATGTTATTTTTTCGCGCGCTGTTTTTCGCGCTGCGCCCCAACAACTGAACGCCTGGATGTGGCTATTTTTGGGATAACACATGTATTTGTAATATCGAGCCTCCGGCAGCAAATAAATATGACGCAGTCAGCTTGAACCACAGTGAATAAATCTGAGGCAGTCAGCTTAAACCAGGGTGTAAAAATTATTTTTTATATCTCCATATAATCTTCGGCAACTGCCTTTACATGTCTTAAAATTGAGCGCTCATCGACACATAAATTGACAGACATGTATTAGAACGCTATCATCAAAAAGATCACATTGCCAGTAATAGGGTTTGCCACTAATAGGGTTGATTCTGACTGAATGCCAATGTTCTTAGGTAATCTGCATACCAAATAGTAAGCGCAAATCGACACTAAACCCAAAGTTTATTTCACTGGCTTATGAAGTTGCTACGGAAGTTGTTATAACTTTGAGCAATGAATTTCATTTCTTATTTCTTTTTTATGCTGCTTCATTTTAGGTTATCAAGTCGCGGAACATTTTTCGTGCTTCGGATACTTAAAAATGTAGGTGGAGCTAAGCCACACAACTTTTGGCATATCACTTAGTTTCGGGAATCTTGGCAAAGTACTACTTTTTTCTTGTTAGATGGCATGATGTTTCATTATTTGATTTCCTTGATCGTGAGTTCCTTGATCGTGAGAATCCTGCATGTAGAGATCTGGTCCCAGTCGTTGGAAGGCTGGATCAGTAACGCTATTCAGTGGATAAGTGCGTGTTAACAAAACAAACCACGCTATCCGCTTGATAGTGATTTACCCAGTGGGTATAAGCCCGCACATAAGCTTTATCCACCTTTCAAACAACAGACGGTAGTCTGAGTGTAATTTAATCTTCTTCTTCGATGGGGCATCTAAGAGGGCCATGCGAGTGCATATAGAAAAATACGATGTTGTCTGATAGAAATTCTAATACTAAGATTACATTTTGCGTAGTTCTCTTTGAATTAGCTTCCTCGCCTATCAGTTGATGCCTATGAAACTTGAATGTTGACAGTTGTGTTTGCAATTTTATTCAGTTGTCGACAGTTGTTTATGAATGGTGCATAACGAAACGATGTTATCAATTACATGTATCACGAGCGCCAGGTTATACATGGGAANATCTTTAATGCGGTCCTTTGGAGCCTTCTCCCTTGAGGGGTATTTGAATAGACATTTCGCATTATTGTTCAGACTTTTTCTAAAAGGGACTGTGGTTTAATCATCGATATGGTGGACAGGTGTGAAAAAAAGACATTTAGCTTGAAAAAGGAAGAGTTTACATTTTTGGTAGTATGCTAAATATCCTGGGAACCAAGAGTATATTTACCTCGGTACTTGAAATAAACGGTATTAGCCAATCATGATAAACGAAAACCTGTTAACTAAATTGAAAATGATATTAGTGTATAAAGAAAACCGACCTTGTCATATGCAAATATAATTATTGCTTGTAATGACTGCTGATATGTTTTTATTGGGTACAAAGAAAACAGTATTAACCTGTCCTTTCACCTATGAACAAAATATTAGCCTGAAGAAGATAATGCCAAAAAAGAAGACTTTGTGGGAGAGATTGCAAGTAATGCGACATAAATTGGACAAGCATCGGGTGTTTGTCAGTGATCATGATTGAAGGTAAATTAGTACACAGAAAAACGTTATCTTTGTCAAGCTTCTTCCTTAGCGATTGTAAGTTGCTTGAACGAACAAGATTGCAACAAGGAAGGCTTCCTCGTTCAGCCATTGGCACGCCACAACTTGAGCAACGAGACTTGAATCGGACTAAGGAAGATGAGAATTCAAAGAAACTCTTGTCGATTTATGCCACAGGAGCAAATGAAATATCAGCTATATATAATAAACTTTGGCCTTAGTTCCGTCAGTTGTTATCATTATTTCTCATCCATGGAATTCAGCGTGATCTTCTTTTCTCATCCCTTCTGGGCTTTTTCTCTTTCAATCGGGAGCGAAAAGGATAACGGGAAGTCCAATTTGAGCGCGTAAAGTTACAGCTACCGGTCTTCAGTATTGCAATTGCGTGAAATGATATTCTAAAGGGCAAAGATATCTTCTACAGTATGATCAGATTGCATTGTACTAAAGGGGTAGCGAATTGACCTTGACAAACCACGAGCTTTGCAAACTTTTCATCGAATTTCACGGAGTCTCGCAGTTGTGTGTTATTTTAGCGGAGTATGAATCCAGTGGACTAACTTGAAATAACGACTTAGCTTGACGACTTGAGCGGTTTTACTCGATACCACTTCACTTGATTGTACTTAGGGATTCCGTTGATTGCAAATTAATCATGATCATGAAAGATACTCATCAAGGCTTTAGCAGACTGGTCTGGTGTAGGTTTGGCCAAGGTCGAACTTAGCTTTGGCAGTTATTCGTCGAGTTTGCGAGCGCAAGTCCGCCTCAAAGGAAGCGACAGGGCGAACTGAAAGGAATAAAGGTTAGAATATTTTTTTTACAAAGTCTACCTTGAAAGTTTTAGCACATTAATCACGGAGAATATTATAAGAACATATAAGACATATCTAATCAAAAACATGCACAGTAACCCTAAGTCATGTATGAACCAGCGGGTAATTTTGTATTTTCTGTCTGACAATGTAACATGGAATGTGCTGCTACACGCCCGTACTAAAGAAAATCACTAGAACCACGATTGAAAGAAAGTGTGTATTGCTGTTTTGTGATATTTTCTACCCTTTGTGCATATTGTTCTTGATTGCCTTTTTATTTGTATAATTATTGCCAAAACAAATACCCTATCTTGATAGTGTTGTTATTCCTACTTAAAGGGTTTCTTTTTTTAGAAACAAATAAAAGATCTCTCCATTTTCATGTTATCCCTACTAATTAACTAGATATTATCAAGCAGAAAAATAACATTATATATCCGCTGATACAAGTGAAACCACACCGGCCCGGAACTCAAAGTAGACGAGCATGATAGGTAAAATTCACGATTTATTTACCTGGCAGTCGGTTACAGGTCTACAGTGACCTTTTTCGCCCAGATAGATGCTATTCAAATTGCTTAAATAAAAAGAAGAAAATAGATTTTTGTCATAAATACATGCTTGACTCGTAAAATTCCTGTGCATACCAATTCAGTGCTGAGTAATTGAAACAAGACGTCCAAAATTACTTTCAATGTAATGACGTCATAACCCACAGGCACTTGTGGATTAGCCAAAGACATCAACCAACAGTTCAACAATAGCAACGAAGCTTGCATGTGTAAACGGGATCTTGTTCCATTTAATGTATTTGTAAACACAACCTACTCTTCAAAAATCAATTTTCATATTATAATTATTCTCAATGACGCATTCACAAGCAGAACTTTGTACATCGTAAAATGAACGCAGGAATCACTCGAAATGACGATAGGTGGCCAAAGCTCTCGGGCCCACATTCCCGTGAAATTAAGTTCCGAACCAAATTATCACGTATCCACCACAATCTTGTTTTCCTCTATCACAGATCTCTTGATAATGGACGTCGATATAAATGGGGTACGTATCAAATGGCATTCGTTTTTCAACAACTTCAAAGTTGGTCGAGAGTTCAGCTATTTCAGTCACGTCAAAACATAAGGCATTTTAGACGCCCAATGAATACCATGACTTTCAACTCGAATACGCTACCTTTTGTTGCAGTTTAACGCCTCTAAGAACCACACGGGACCATTGTTTACCGGTAAGTAACCGAAAAAAGAAAAAAAATATATCTTGCTTTGCTACCTCTTCCAGTTCGGGTGAGTAACTGTTTTTGATTAACATAACCGAGACAGCTTGCTAGGCAGACGAGTTCAAAGGGCTTGCAATTGCCTTTCAGTGAGTTATAAATTTGCTTTCTAAGGCTAAATTTCTGCTCAAGTCCAGCGCAAATAAGCAATTCCTGCTCAGAGGGACAATGCTTCAGGTGCAAACCACGTTTTTGCAATCATAGGCGATTTCCAAACGGCGATAACAAAAATTACTTACTGATTTGCATCATGAACTGCGTTATGTAACGACCCCACAACGTTTATTCAGCAGAACTATAGATTATTGTCGGGATAAACGATTTAATTGGCAAGCTTTTGATACTCAAAGCAACACCCAGCACCTCCCGGTCAAACTGAAAAGCAAATTCTATGGAGTGACGTATTTCAATGGCAAAAATAAAGTGGGCACTTTGGCCAGCATATAGTTTCGCCTAGTCTAAAGCATGCTACTCAACAAATGGTGAAGATTGTATATGTAGAAGAGATATATTTTGTTGAGTTTCCTTACTGAAAACCTCTCCTTGGTTAACGCTAAGCTTGATTATAGAAAATCTAGCAATTGCTCAACGAACCGGAGCAAAAACCAGCTGTGATGATTCCATTATTTTTCAATTTAGGCCCTTGGCACTAACACTTTACATCTCCATATAAATATTTGCTCGCCTTCCCACAAATAACTCTTTCTTTCATGGCGTCAAATTCAAGTGCATTTAATTATGGTCCCCGCTAAGTTCTCTCGACTCATTTCCTTTTTCTAAGTACTTTAAGTTGGACGCGGTTTAGATCGGAACGGAATAGCGTATTTTTTTGCCACTGAAAGCATGGCTGACAATACACATCGAAATATGTAAAGAACTGGTTAAAAGGGGTATGGTTTAAATTTTCTGAGCGCCATGAGGTGATCATGTTTTTCTCGCCATCTGTAGCTTGAGGCAGTAACTATCCCTAAACATGCAATTTTATTGCTCAGAGAAACTATGTGGAATATGCTTTTGAGTCACGTACCTAGGACTTACCAAAGGAATTCAGGCGCGTGCTCGACTAAGGAGACTACCACCCCAGTCGATTCTGAGCAGTCTGGAAATTTTACTATATCTAAACAAACGGCTGGTTGTGTTCTGCCGGCAATCGATCGAAAGTCAGTGACTTCTAACATGGCTATCTCACCAGGTGCAACAAGATAATTAACAACAAAAAAAATCCTTGAGATTACATAACTTCTCTTTGGCTTTCGCCTCCTTCGCGAACGAAGACTATCACATATCGGCAATTACTCATAAATTTTTCAGTGCTGCATGTTTGAGTCCTACAAACGTTCTTTATAACTGAAGATTCTTTCCTTTTAAAAACAGGTGAAATATCTGAAGGCAATCTATTCTAAAATGATCTAAACTTTGTTGATCTGCGCTAACAGCTGGTTACGTTGATCAAGTGATCATTGTCAAAGACCTCGCATAAGTTTATCAGTTTAATGTACGGTATAGATACAATTTATTTTACTTCATTCGTTTTCATCAACCTCTTGAAAGAGGGCTGCTGAGCAGGGTGCTGGCCAGTACATACTTTGATTCACTCTGGTGTTAATAATGGCTTATCTCTGGACAGGAGTCGCCTTCATTCATTCTCGTTTTGTCATCACGCTTTAGTTATGCTTTGATTTTTCGGGGTAGCCTCTTCCAGGCGTTCAGTTAGTTGGGGCGAAACGCGCAAAATGTTATTTTTTCGCGCGCTGTTTTTCGCGCTGCGCCCCAACAACTGAACGCCTGGATGTGGCTATTTTTGGGATAACACATGTATTTGTAATATCGAGCCTCCGGCAGCAAATAAATATGACGCAGTCAGCTTGAACCACAGTGAATAAATCTGAGGCAGTCAGCTTAAACCAGGGTGTAAAAATTATTTTTTATATCTCCATATAATCTTCGGCAACTGCCTTTACATGTCTTAAAATTGAGCGCTCATCGACACATAAATTGACAGACATGTATTAGAACGCTATCATCAAAAAGATCACATTGCCAGTAATAGGGTTTGCCACTAATAGGGTTGATTCTGACTGAATGCCAATGTTCTTAGGTAATCTGCATACCAAATAGTAAGCGCAAATCGACACTAAACCCAAAGTTTATTTCACTGGCTTATGAAGTTGCTACGGAAGTTGTTATAACTTTGAGCAATGAATTTCATTTCTTATTTCTTTTTTATGCTGCTTCATTTTAGGTTATCAAGTCGCGGAACATTTTTCGTGCTTCGGATACTTAAAAATGTAGGTGGAGCTAAGCCACACAACTTTTGGCATATCACTTAGTTTCGGGAATCTTGGCAAAGTACTACTTTTTTCTTGTTAGATGGCATGATGTTTCATTATTTGATTTCCTTGATCGTGAGTTCCTTGATCGTGAGAATCCTGCATGTAGAGATCTGGTCCCAGTCGTTGGAAGGCTGGATCAGTAACGCTATTCAGTGGATAAGTGCGTGTTAACAAAACAAACCACGCTATCCGCTTGATAGTGATTTACCCAGTGGGTATAAGCCCGCACATAAGCTTTATCCACCTTTCAAACAACAGACGGTAGTCTGAGTGTAATTTAATCTTCTTCTTCGATGGGGCATCTAAGAGGGCCATGCGAGTGCATATAGAAAAATACGATGTTGTCTGATAGAAATTCTAATACTAAGATTACATTTTGCGTAGTTCTCTTTGAATTAGCTTCCTCGCCTATCAGTTGATGCCTATGAAACTTGAATGTTGACAGTTGTGTTTGCAATTTTATTCAGTTGTCGACAGTTGTTTATGAATGGTGCATAACGAAACGATGTTATCAATTACATGTATCACGAGCGCCAGGTTATACATGGGAATCCCGATTTCTCGAACCCTCAGGTTTTCGAACCTGCCGATAAACTCGAACCAAAAGTCGTTTCTCCTCCTCAGCCAAACGCTGTAATTTTACCCCCGATTTCTCGAACTATCGGATTTTGCGAACAAATTTTCGTTTCCCTTGGAGGTTCGAAAAATCGTGATTCCAATGTACATTTAGCCCAGACCACGGCACTAGCGACGCAAGCATAAGCATAACCAGGGCATAAGCATAATTAATTGCTTTAGTTTACAGCCGCTGTAAATTAAGGTGTTATGCGCTACTGAGGACGGCCGGACATAAGTATGAGCGTAAGAATATCAAAACCTTGCGTTCTTCTTCTGCTCTGTCGTTATTGTGTCCAGTTATGACATGATGGAATAAGCATAAGCAGGAGCATAAGCATAAGCGAAAGACTTTCAGCCAATCAGCGAGCACTTTATCAGTTATGCCAAAATGTCCTCACTGTAACACCGACATAAGCATAAGCAAAAGAAGAAGGCACATGTTATGGAAATGCTTATGCATATGCTTGCGTCGCAAGTGAGGACAGGGCGTTAGGCACTCTGGCAGAATATATTGCAATATTGTAGATGGCGGAAATACACATAATGCTAATTTTTTAACATCATATTTTTAGGCCCTCTCCGCCTTGAAACCATATTTTTTAGTATGCCTCCCCTCCCTAAATTCATCAGTCCACCCCCTCCCTTAGCAAACCAGATTGAAAATGAAATGTATTTCGGAGCAAAGGTACGCGATTCCAATAGGACCTTTCTGTTCGTCAAAATGGAATGTAACGCTTAGTTTCGAAACTTTCTTTTCTTCTCATAATTTCCAGTTTTATCAAACACGCAGTTGAAGTGTTCAGCGACAATTTATGAGGTTTCGCGTCCTAAATGGATTCCAGCAGATTCTTTCACTGACTTCAATCAATTTCGGCTCATTTTAAATATCACATTCATTTTGTTTTGTTTTGATCCAACAAGTATTTTTAATACCCGTTCAAGGTCATGTTATGACGTTTCGCGGGAAATAGTTTGAAATTAATCTATACATTCATACCCGTGCAGTAATGCATTTTTTGATCCCTTGTTGTCATCAGAACTTTTAGCAGTAGCCATTAAAGAAAACCTGAACACAGTTGTGAGATATAACACGATTTCAGTTTATAATATTGTTCGTAGCGTTCAAAGCTATATTTAAATATAAATTTCTATTTAAAACGTACATATGTTGAGCTGTTTGGCACAGTTAGTAATGAGACTAATTTGAAAACAAATGGTTGAAAATAGCCATATTGTTTATCTCAATCTGTCTGCCGGTTGATATTAATTATTTTAATTAACTTTACCTACATGCGAGTATTAAAAATTAAAACTACTCTTCTTTCTCTGGAATTATTAACTTGTAACAAAATACTGCTTCCTGCTTTCTAGACATTTTCACCTCAGGAAGTAAAGAAGAACGTCAGAATTGATTTATTATCTATACTTAACACCTGGTTTCCCTGTCAAAACAATAGTTTCTCGTTTGTGTGACTCTTAATAGCTATGTGTACGTGAGTTGTGTGGTTTTTGTCTCGATTTAACATTCATTATTAATGGTAACATTTTGTTCATTATTGCGATGGTATAGAAAAACCAAGCAGCACACAATGTGCCAATCTGCATGTGTTCTTCAGATGATGAATAATTTTGATGATTTTCTCTTTTGTTTTCTCTATAAATTTACAGGTGCCACGCAACCTTGATCAGCTCGTCGAGGTGGCCTTTGGCGCGAATTTGAACGGAACTCTTCATTGCGGAAATTCTAAATTTTTCTCAAGACTCCAGACCTTTGTCACTGCACAGAGTCGTATAAGCCTTCTTGGAAAAAGGAGGAGAGATCAGACATTAACAGTCCTAAACAATCCCATAGCTTAACGGTTCAGGCGTTGACTCCGAGCATTCAAGGGCTCGGCGATATGGAAAATAACGCATCTACGATCAACAGCAGCTCTTATTTTAAACCAGCTAACGGCGACAACGCATCAGTGGCGACTTCTGGCGAAACTCCCGCTTTCAAGGCAATAAAGCTGTCATTCTACGCTGTCATCTTCCTTATAAGTGTCATCGGTAACACTTTGGTTTGCGTGGTGATCGCAAGACGTCGGAGAATGCGAACCGTCACGAATTTCTTCGTGTTGAACCTCGCAGCGTCGGATCTCGCCATCACTTGCATCTGTATTCCGTTCGATATTCCCGTGCAAGAGAATCACTACAGATGGCCTTACGGACGGTTCTTCTGCAAGGTCTTATACCCGCTTCAGACCGTGGCCATGTTCTCTTCTATCTTTACGCTAACTGCAGTGAGCCTCAATAGGTTCTGGGCAATCGTTTATCCTCTGCGAAAGCAGATGACGAAAAAGCACGCCATGGTTGTTATAATCATCATCTGGACCGTGTGTATTCTACTGACGGCACCTTATGTCATGGTCTTAAACCTGGATAAGGCTACCATGGAATGCAGAGAATATTGGCCTGGAATTGGCTACAGAAAAACCTACACTGCATCGCTTTTTGTCTTGCAATATTTTTTGCCTTTGACCGTGATCACACTTGCGTATCTAAAAATTGGTTTGGAGCTAAGGGCCTGTTCAAGCGTGAAAAACGCTTTGGCGGTAAATGCCGTTCTACACAATGCACACCGAAACGAGGCTCGCAAAGTTGTGCGCATGCTCATTGTCGTCACTCTCCTCTTTGCCATTTGTGTTCTGCCCAATAACGTGATGTGGCTTTGGCTGGATTTCGGCAATGGGCAAAACTACCCTCACTTCTGGGATATGGTTGCTTTTACTAACATCATTTTGTTCGCCAACAGTGCGGCAAATCCCCTGGCGTACACAATTTGCCACGAGAATTTCAGGGAAGAATTCAAACTGTATTTCACCTGCGATCCAAAGATTTTTCAAAGCATGGCGGAAACCACGATAACCTACACCAGGACCCGGTTACGCAGTCTGACCGGAAATGACAAAAAATCCGTACAGGCTGTGGAATATGGCGAGATATTAGTGGTTGACGCCAAAGAGACTGTTATTTGATAGTTCCTTTGCAAAGTACTGTCTGTAAATAGCACACAAAAGTCAGTAATCTTAGCAATTTAATAGCTACGTTCTTAGAGCGCGCCGGTATAATGCTTTGGACCATGTGGCTACATTTGAACTTCGTCATCTCAAGCGCGGTTATCTTGAACTCAGATCGTTTTCCTTGGTACTGGCTTTTCCAGTCATTTACTATCCGTTGTCTACAACCCAGACTGTCTCGAACTATTAATAGTTTCCCTTAAGAGTTCGAAATATCGCGGGATTGAATTATTTTAACAGGGTAAACATTAGGTGTTTTAGGTGTTGTGAAAGTGCTCAACTTATGAAAGTGANCAACGAACCGGAGCAAAAACCAGCTGTGATGATTCCATTATTTTTCAATTTAGGCCCTTGGCACTAACACTTTACATCTCCATATAAATATTTGCTCGCCTTCCCACAAATAACTCTTTCTTTCATGGCGTCAAATTCAAGTGCATTTAATTATGGTCCCCGCTAAGTTCTCTCGACTCATTTCCTTTTTCTAAGTACTTTAAGTTGGACGCGGTTTAGATCGGAACGGAATAGCGTATTTTTTTGCCACTGAAAGCATGGCTGACAATACACATCGAAATATGTAAAGAACTGGTTAAAAGGGGTATGGTTTAAATTTTCTGAGCGCCATGAGGTGATCATGTTTTTCTCGCCATCTGTAGCTTGAGGCAGTAACTATCCCTAAACATGCAATTTTATTGCTCAGAGAAACTATGTGGAATATGCTTTTGAGTCACGTACCTAGGACTTACCAAAGGAATTCAGGCGCGTGCTCGACTAAGGAGACTACCACCCCAGTCGATTCTGAGCAGTCTGGAAATTTTACTATATCTAAACAAACGGCTGGTTGTGTTCTGCCGGCAATCGATCGAAAGTCAGTGACTTCTAACATGGCTATCTCACCAGGTGCAACAAGATAATTAACAACAAAAAAAATCCTTGAGATTACATAACTTCTCTTTGGCTTTCGCCTCCTTCGCGAACGAAGACTATCACATATCGGCAATTACTCATAAATTTTTCAGTGCTGCATGTTTGAGTCCTACAAACGTTCTTTATAACTGAAGATTCTTTCCTTTTAAAAACAGGTGAAATATCTGAAGGCAATCTATTCTAAAATGATCTAAACTTTGTTGATCTGCGCTAACAGCTGGTTACGTTGATCAAGTGATCATTGTCAAAGACCTCGCATAAGTTTATCAGTTTAATGTACGGTATAGATACAATTTATTTTACTTCATTCGTTTTCATCAACCTCTTGAAAGAGGGCTGCTGAGCAGGGTGCTGGCCAGTACATACTTTGATTCACTCTGGTGTTAATAATGGCTTATCTCTGGACAGGAGTCGCCTTCATTCATTCTCGTTTTGTCATCACGCTTTAGTTATGCTTTGATTTTTCGGGGTAGCCTCTTCCAGGCGTTCAGTTAGTTGGGGCGAAACGCGCAAAATGTTATTTTTTCGCGCGCTGTTTTTCGCGCTGCGCCCCAACAACTGAACGCCTGGATGTGGCTATTTTTGGGATAACACATGTATTTGTAATATCGAGCCTCCGGCAGCAAATAAATATGACGCAGTCAGCTTGAACCACAGTGAATAAATCTGAGGCAGTCAGCTTAAACCAGGGTGTAAAAATTATTTTTTATATCTCCATATAATCTTCGGCAACTGCCTTTACATGTCTTAAAATTGAGCGCTCATCGACACATAAATTGACAGACATGTATTAGAACGCTATCATCAAAAAGATCACATTGCCAGTAATAGGGTTTGCCACTAATAGGGTTGATTCTGACTGAATGCCAATGTTCTTAGGTAATCTGCATACCAAATAGTAAGCGCAAATCGACACTAAACCCAAAGTTTATTTCACTGGCTTATGAAGTTGCTACGGAAGTTGTTATAACTTTGAGCAATGAATTTCATTTCTTATTTCTTTTTTATGCTGCTTCATTTTAGGTTATCAAGTCGCGGAACATTTTTCGTGCTTCGGATACTTAAAAATGTAGGTGGAGCTAAGCCACACAACTTTTGGCATATCACTTAGTTTCGGGAATCTTGGCAAAGTACTACTTTTTTCTTGTTAGATGGCATGATGTTTCATTATTTGATTTCCTTGATCGTGAGTTCCTTGATCGTGAGAATCCTGCATGTAGAGATCTGGTCCCAGTCGTTGGAAGGCTGGATCAGTAACGCTATTCAGTGGATAAGTGCGTGTTAACAAAACAAACCACGCTATCCGCTTGATAGTGATTTACCCAGTGGGTATAAGCCCGCACATAAGCTTTATCCACCTTTCAAACAACAGACGGTAGTCTGAGTGTAATTTAATCTTCTTCTTCGATGGGGCATCTAAGAGGGCCATGCGAGTGCATATAGAAAAATACGATGTTGTCTGATAGAAATTCTAATACTAAGATTACATTTTGCGTAGTTCTCTTTGAATTAGCTTCCTCGCCTATCAGTTGATGCCTATGAAACTTGAATGTTGACAGTTGTGTTTGCAATTTTATTCAGTTGTCGACAGTTGTTTATGAATGGTGCATAACGAAACGATGTTATCAATTACATGTATCACGAGCGCCAGGTTATACATGGGAATCCCGATTTCTCGAACCCTCAGGTTTTCGAACCTGCCGATAAACTCGAACCAAAAGTCGTTTCTCCTCCTCAGCCAAACGCTGTAATTTTACCCCCGATTTCTCGAACTATCGGATTTTGCGAACAAATTTTCGTTTCCCTTGGAGGTTCGAAAAATCGTGATTCCAATGTACATTTAGCCCAGACCACGGCACTAGCGACGCAAGCATAAGCATAACCAGGGCATAAGCATAATTAATTGCTTTAGTTTACAGCCGCTGTAAATTAAGGTGTTATGCGCTACTGAGGACGGCCGGACATAAGTATGAGCGTAAGAATATCAAAACCTTGCGTTCTTCTTCTGCTCTGTCGTTATTGTGTCCAGTTATGACATGATGGAATAAGCATAAGCAGGAGCATAAGCATAAGCGAAAGACTTTCAGCCAATCAGCGAGCACTTTATCAGTTATGCCAAAATGTCCTCACTGTAACACCGACATAAGCATAAGCAAAAGAAGAAGGCACATGTTATGGAAATGCTTATGCATATGCTTGCGTCGCAAGTGAGGACAGGGCGTTAGGCACTCTGGCAGAATATATTGCAATATTGTAGATGGCGGAAATACACATAATGCTAATTTTTTAACATCATATTTTTAGGCCCTCTCCGCCTTGAAACCATATTTTTTAGTATGCCTCCCCTCCCTAAATTCATCAGTCCACCCCCTCCCTTAGCAAACCAGATTGAAAATGAAATGTATTTCGGAGCAAAGGTACGCGATTCCAATAGGACCTTTCTGTTCGTCAAAATGGAATGTAACGCTTAGTTTCGAAACTTTCTTTTCTTCTCATAATTTCCAGTTTTATCAAACACGCAGTTGAAGTGTTCAGCGACAATTTATGAGGTTTCGCGTCCTAAATGGATTCCAGCAGATTCTTTCACTGACTTCAATCAATTTCGGCTCATTTTAAATATCACATTCATTTTGTTTTGTTTTGATCCAACAAGTATTTTTAATACCCGTTCAAGGTCATGTTATGACGTTTCGCGGGAAATAGTTTGAAATTAATCTATACATTCATACCCGTGCAGTAATGCATTTTTTGATCCCTTGTTGTCATCAGAACTTTTAGCAGTAGCCATTAAAGAAAACCTGAACACAGTTGTGAGATATAACACGATTTCAGTTTATAATATTGTTCGTAGCGTTCAAAGCTATATTTAAATATAAATTTCTATTTAAAACGTACATATGTTGAGCTGTTTGGCACAGTTAGTAATGAGACTAATTTGAAAACAAATGGTTGAAAATAGCCATATTGTTTATCTCAATCTGTCTGCCGGTTGATATTAATTATTTTAATTAACTTTACCTACATGCGAGTATTAAAAATTAAAACTACTCTTCTTTCTCTGGAATTATTAACTTGTAACAAAATACTGCTTCCTGCTTTCTAGACATTTTCACCTCAGGAAGTAAAGAAGAACGTCAGAATTGATTTATTATCTATACTTAACACCTGGTTTCCCTGTCAAAACAATAGTTTCTCGTTTGTGTGACTCTTAATAGCTATGTGTACGTGAGTTGTGTGGTTTTTGTCTCGATTTAACATTCATTATTAATGGTAACATTTTGTTCATTATTGCGATGGTATAGAAAAACCAAGCAGCACACAATGTGCCAATCTGCATGTGTTCTTCAGATGATGAATAATTTTGATGATTTTCTCTTTTGTTTTCTCTATAAATTTACAGGTGCCACGCAACCTTGATCAGCTCGTCGAGGTGGCCTTTGGCGCGAATTTGAACGGAACTCTTCATTGCGGAAATTCTAAATTTTTCTCAAGACTCCAGACCTTTGTCACTGCACAGAGTCGTATAAGCCTTCTTGGAAAAAGGAGGAGAGATCAGACATTAACAGTCCTAAACAATCCCATAGCTTAACGGTTCAGGCGTTGACTCCGAGCATTCAAGGGCTCGGCGATATGGAAAATAACGCATCTACGATCAACAGCAGCTCTTATTTTAAACCAGCTAACGGCGACAACGCATCAGTGGCGACTTCTGGCGAAACTCCCGCTTTCAAGGCAATAAAGCTGTCATTCTACGCTGTCATCTTCCTTATAAGTGTCATCGGTAACACTTTGGTTTGCGTGGTGATCGCAAGACGTCGGAGAATGCGAACCGTCACGAATTTCTTCGTGTTGAACCTCGCAGCGTCGGATCTCGCCATCACTTGCATCTGTATTCCGTTCGATATTCCCGTGCAAGAGAATCACTACAGATGGCCTTACGGACGGTTCTTCTGCAAGGTCTTATACCCGCTTCAGACCGTGGCCATGTTCTCTTCTATCTTTACGCTAACTGCAGTGAGCCTCAATAGGTTCTGGGCAATCGTTTATCCTCTGCGAAAGCAGATGACGAAAAAGCACGCCATGGTTGTTATAATCATCATCTGGACCGTGTGTATTCTACTGACGGCACCTTATGTCATGGTCTTAAACCTGGATAAGGCTACCATGGAATGCAGAGAATATTGGCCTGGAATTGGCTACAGAAAAACCTACACTGCATCGCTTTTTGTCTTGCAATATTTTTTGCCTTTGACCGTGATCACACTTGCGTATCTAAAAATTGGTTTGGAGCTAAGGGCCTGTTCAAGCGTGAAAAACGCTTTGGCGGTAAATGCCGTTCTACACAATGCACACCGAAACGAGGCTCGCAAAGTTGTGCGCATGCTCATTGTCGTCACTCTCCTCTTTGCCATTTGTGTTCTGCCCAATAACGTGATGTGGCTTTGGCTGGATTTCGGCAATGGGCAAAACTACCCTCACTTCTGGGATATGGTTGCTTTTACTAACATCATTTTGTTCGCCAACAGTGCGGCAAATCCCCTGGCGTACACAATTTGCCACGAGAATTTCAGGGAAGAATTCAAACTGTATTTCACCTGCGATCCAAAGATTTTTCAAAGCATGGCGGAAACCACGATAACCTACACCAGGACCCGGTTACGCAGTCTGACCGGAAATGACAAAAAATCCGTACAGGCTGTGGAATATGGCGAGATATTAGTGGTTGACGCCAAAGAGACTGTTATTTGATAGTTCCTTTGCAAAGTACTGTCTGTAAATAGCACACAAAAGTCAGTAATCTTAGCAATTTAATAGCTACGTTCTTAGAGCGCGCCGGTATAATGCTTTGGACCATGTGGCTACATTTGAACTTCGTCATCTCAAGCGCGGTTATCTTGAACTCAGATCGTTTTCCTTGGTACTGGCTTTTCCAGTCATTTACTATCCGTTGTCTACAACCCAGACTGTCTCGAACTATTAATAGTTTCCCTTAAGAGTTCGAAATATCGCGGGATTGAATTATTTTAACAGGGTAAACATTAGGTGTTTTAGGTGTTGTGAAAGTGCTCAACTTATGAAAGTGAAATAATTGCAAATGCCTTCTTAATAAACGCTATTTACTATGCCTTAGTCTTGTTTAAGATTATCTATCTTCTCAGATTCAACTCGCCAGGATCACCGAACGTAGTAAATTTAAATTTAGCACTTTATGACAGGTTCTCGGGACGAAGCTGAGGGAAACTTTGAGATCCGAGGGAAATAATATCTACCGGTTTCCTGGTAGAAAACAAATGCATTTCTTTCCCATGCCCCCAATTCCATTGTTAATTACCTGCTGTTGTTACATGTGATGTGAACTCCCTGTTGTGGAGAATTCTAACAATATGATATAACAAGGTTCAAGAAATAACATTACACGTGTCGTATTTGCAGATGCAAATACGATCAACTTATGAGCGAAACACACACATGTATATTTTTTCTTTTGAATTTTAAATACATATAACGTCAGCTAGGTGGAAAACGGCCAGTTGCCCAATCAGAAGTTACGATGGGAAAAAGGTTTAAAAGGACAGAAAGTAGAAAATCTCTGATTTTTGCTTAACTGCACCATAATGATCACAAAGTTGCGCTAGTCAGCACTGGAATAGAAGATGGAAAGCACAGAGTTACTCAGAGTAAAACAACCCAATAATTTTTCTCTGAGTGCTACCCCCGAAAATGGAAATGGAGGACCACAAGATACAAACTGAGAAATATTTGACCTTGGCAGGATTCAAACTTCAATACGACTTCGGATTAAAATAAATAATTAAATAATGTCTTTCTTCATTTGATAAAAATCAGGAGAAAAATACATATTAAGTGTTACAATTAATAAAAGATAAAATGACTAAGAATTTATCCAAAAAGCGCTTTACAAATTCAAAACGGGTAAAACTGATGATAAAAAGGTACAACTAAATTGCTTATTTATATTCGAAACACAACCTGTTGTTTAAAACTATTTTTTAAAACGTTCAGTATGTATTTGAGGAAGCTAGCTGCTCTTAGATCTTAGCCATACTGACTCGTGGTAGCATGCTGACTCGTGGCAGCTGTTGGTGCTGTCGGTGTGGCAGCTCATCTTTGTTTTACCGACTGTGCTACAAGGCCAGACGAGAGCAGGTCGTGGAGATAGGAAATTAATGCAGGTGTTGGTAAATTATGGTCGACTTTCAGCCGTCATGATCATTTTCCTTTAGGGAGGATGATGTTGTAATCTTGTTCACTGTCTAACAACTGAAGATAAACAATTAAAAGATATGTATATTAGTAGCAAGCACAAGGCAATCCAAATTCCTCTAGACTACCAACTTTTTTACGCGTTTAAATTATTTACAAAGTGACAAGCACACAAAGCACATCGTGATACAGGCTGTTACGGATGGCACGACAAGACGCCATTTGCAATGCAACTCAACTCGTTTAATGCGTACTTCATGTAAGCTACATAGAACTAGAACGCACATGTTTACTCCAAATATGGTAAGACAAACCATATACGTAACACAGGCGTATTGCGTGATTTGCAAGAGTATGACAAAATGGCGTCCACTGGAATGAATCTAGGATTTTCAGTCGCATTTCTGTGCGCTTCTCTTTGCTTTCCTGGCTATACTAAAGCAGAAGATGTTATCCTTACTCCTTTGTTTGGAAGCAGTCACTATTTCTTGTTCAAGCGCATCGGCGAAGAACTTGCAAATCGAGGACTCAAGGTATGGCCGTTCACTGATATAGCTTGATATTTTGTTCACACATTTAGTAACCGATGTTCTCTGTTATCGTGCTCATAATATTTTCTACATTCTCTGTGTCTTAATTCGCTCCTGCCTAATCTGAATCGTCTTTTATCACCGGGTTAACTTCGCTTACTTGCGTAAAAATAGCATTTGACTAAAAACATTGTAAATGGAAGCACCTACAATAATGCAGCGGTAGAAACTACCGATTAATCTCCGAAGTAGAGTTTAGCTTCAAAAATCACGAGTAAATAAAATAAAGCTCTTGGATAGGTCTTCATATCGAAGAACGCAAATGCCAGCTTCTACTGTTTATATATTTTAATTCTAAATTCATCTCTTCGAGGTTGCAGAAATTACTTCATGCATGGCCAATATTTATACAACGAGATTGTAGGGAGGAAAGTTGTGCTAAGGCGCACGTTATGATTTAAGCGGATCCATTTTAACCAAATGATATATGTAATACTACATAAATTAAGAATGAACAATGTTGCAGTGGACTTGTAGCAGAGTTCTTCAATGTGAAACTCGTCTTGGTTTGCCCGTCAGGTCTAACCCACGCCATGTTGCCAGTTTTCAAGAGCTCTAATCCTTTATCGTATGCCCCTCAACCGTTTACTGGTCTAGACGACAACATGACCTTTACTGAACGTTTGATCAACGTTGCAGGGTTTTTATTGGCTAATATCATTGGCCGAGTATTCATGTTTCCTACCATGGACAAAGTAAAGGAACAGTATAATATTAAACCAGATGTTAGCACGGGGGAGTCGTTAGGGAAAGCAGAAGTGGTTTTTGTCCAAAGTCATTTTGCTTTGGATTTCCCAAGGCCTCTTACACCCGGTTAGTACTGTAATAGTATTTATTTTAATTTCTGCTTTTTGTTTCCTTTTCCAAGAGTGAAGTAATATACAGGCATGGCTAAAATCGATCAAAGAGGGGGAATAACCGGCCACATTTGATACTATTACTCTTGGTTGAGAAATAACATGCATGCTGTCCAGAAATTGTCCCTCTCAACAGCTGTTATAAAGTGGTATATAATCGTAGTATGCTTTTTTTAAGTGGTCAATGTCAAAAGAATTTCCCTGGGTGGCCTTAGTTGGGGTATTCACACTGCAAGTCATAACGAAAAAATCCAAGCTGGAGCAATTGGCCTGGACATCTTCTGAAAGAGATGCGATATCGATAAGGATAACGAAAGCTCCTTGTATTCAAAATCATACAAGTACGAAAACCGGTCGACATGAATTTGGGGGTGGGGGGAAGGGAAGATTCTATTGTACATCCACATTCGACCATGCAGGACATCGTCTGTAGCGTCTTCGTGACGTACTCTATGCAAGAGAGAGAGAGAGAGAGAGAGAGAGAGAGAGAGAGAGAGAGAGAGAGAAAATACATAGATGAAGAGTAACTGATCGCCCAGTGTCGTCAATGTAACGTTATTTTTCATATATATTGATGACCTGAACGTCGTGTTTAAACAAGTCGCATGACCTTATCAGAGTGCACCAGAGGTGTTGGGAAAAGAGGTTGTGGCTAACCATTCTTGACAAACCGCTTTTGCTTTCCGCTACTCCTGCAAAGTAATTTTTCATTTTCTTTCTTTTGTTTTACTCATGACAGCGTTAATAGTAACAGGACCACTTTTACCTCGACCTGCTAAAACCCTTCCTCCTGAGCTGGAGAGCTTTATGACGAACTCTGGAGATGATGGTGTTGTTGTGGTCGCCTTCGGCTCGATGGTATCTACCTTGCCAACGCAAACGTTGAGGATGTTAGCTATAGTGCTTGGTAGAATGAAGCAGAAGGTCTTGTGGAAGATTAAAGGTATTTCTATTTTCAGTTTTAGAAAATGAAATTAGAAAAATATATAAGATAGTTTGGCATAATCAAAGTGCTTTGTTTTTGCAGTTTAAAGTAGTAAATTACCAATGCGCTTTACTTGATAGTTCTTGTTTGGTAACCAGATGACTGTATGTGGATAAGACATTTCTATGTACGATCACCAACTACCTTCTCTTGAATAAAGACTGATTGTCATCATGACAAAATAGTAGCCTTAACACCAGGGGCTTAACCTTTCAGCGCAACCTCCACTTCCATTGCTTTAAAAAATATCACATCAACTTAGTAATCACCAATGTTTAATTCGATTACCTAATGTAATGTATGTCGCGAAAAATCCATTCTCGGAAAGTGTCTTAGTATGATTTTTCTTATAGAGCAAAACGTCACATCGTAGTCCATTTTTCTGGACCATTTCTATGCTTCTAGCTCAGTTTTTCTGCCGTGTTAACGTTTAATTTCCTCCCTTACAAACTAACTCAAAATTGCACTTTAAAAGGAAAATACATTT